TTTATTCTTCACATAATAAATTTACCTTCCTAAAATACCAGTTAGAGTATAAGACTCCTTCTTCAAAGGATTGCAGTGGGTCCCAAATTTTCATTGACAACCAAATATTTTAACTTTACTTTCAAGGATTTCCATTATCTATTATCAACTACTCTCCAGCCTCATCTACAACCATTTCCTTCAACAGACCTCATGATCTAGCCACATCATGCACTCTTTAACGTTAGTATCTTTCTGTTCTCTTTGCCTACAAAGGGCCCCTACTTTATTACTTACAACTTTAGGTGCCTCTATTGCATTCTTCAAGAACCATTTTCCTTTCTTTCATTTCTTTCTTCTTTATTATTAATATTATTTTGATTGACAAATCATAATTGTGTACATTTATGGGGTACAATGTAATGTTTTGGTATACATAATGTGAAATGATGAGATCAAGCTAATTCACATATCTATCACCTTGTTCAGCTATAATATTTTTATGGTGAGACATTTGAAATTTACTCTCTTTGTCTGAAATATATGATACCTTATTGTTGCATTCTGCTGTGCAGTATATCTCAAAAACTGCTCCTACTGCCTGTCTGAAACTTTGTACCTGTTTATTAACAACTCCTAATTCTCTCCCTGGTCACCCCCTGGTCTCTGGTAACCACCATTCTACTCTCTACTTCTATGAGTTCAACTTTTTTAAGATTCCACATATACATGAGATCACGTGGTATTTGTCTTTTTGTGCCTGGCTTACTTCACTTGACATAATGTCCTTTAGATTCATCCATATTGTCAAAAATGACAGGATTTTCCCCCTTTTATGGCTGAATATTATTCTGTTGTGTATGTACACCACATTTTCTTTATCCATTCATCCATTCATGGACACTTAGGTTGATTCCACTTCTTGGTTATTGTGAATAGTGCTGCAATAAATATGAAAATGCAGATAACCCTTCAATATACTGATTTGTGGTTTTTTTTGGATATATGCCCAGCAATGGGATTAGTGGATCATATGGTAGTTCCATTTTAGTTTTTTGAGGAACCTCCATACAGTTTTCCATAATGGCTATGCTAATTTACATTCCCACTAACAATGTGCAAACATTCCCTTTTTTTTCTGCATCCTTGCTAACATTTGAAATTATTAAAATAATGGCTAAGAAACATCTATATCAAATTTGTCTCTGTATCTTCTATTAGGTAGTAAGGGGGCTAATTATACTCCTTTCCTCTCCCCATTCCCAATGATTACATAGATTATAGTACATATGGATGACTGTTTATGGATTTTTGTCTTTTTTATTATTGTATGACTTCCCATGCTTTCTGTGCAATAAGTATATGTGTATACTCTACAACATAATTGCTAAGTGACTCTAAGGTCCCAAATTTCCTGTTGAGTTATGGAATTTCTGTTAAGCCCATCTTATTATTTCATAAGGATTTTAATAATTAAGTGATGATTACATACTCAATGATTTTTGTGTGCTTGGACTAAACTTATCAAATTCTAGTGCTGTTTCCATTTCACCAATTCTATCTGGTTGCAATTGATAGCTTTGTTGGCTAATTGCTATGTTAGCATCCTTTCCTTTGGTCTGAACAGTAGATTTGGTGTTTACTGATTTAAAAATGTGAGAAAAGTCAGAGACAGGTTGGAGGCAATCCTACTGCTCATAGATAGGGTGAGTTGAAACTCTGATTTCTCACTTTCTACATTCTGTGTTTCTGTACACTTGACTGCATCTGTGCAACAATGGTGACATTTGTTAGAAATATGGGCATAATCTCCAGCAATGATTCTTTTGAAATGGAAACTACCTGTTTGGATTTGTAGGTTCTGCTATATTTCATCAATTGCATCACTTCTCAATCATGTCATGTCTGTTTGTTTGTTTGATCAGTGCACCTTTGCTCACATCTGAATGCAGCTGTATAAAACCAACATGACCTTTATGCCTTAGCAGTTCATGCAGGGTCCTGTAAGCTTCCGTTGATTAATTCTCCAAAGTCATCTTTTATGTAGACACCAGTTACACAACTATCATACAAACACAGACCATCCATGATTTGAGAATAGCCAGACAATTCAATCTTCCAAAGATCCAAATGACTTTGGTATTATCCCATCTTTGCTGATTTTCACATACTGAAATTCACTTTACCTTTGGAGGTGTGGATAATTGAGAGTTGGAAATAAATATATCCAAGGATTACATTAAGTGCATTTATTATTCAAGATATGATGTGGAGATTTCCTTCATACAGTACTATTCCTAGGGCACATTTTGTACAGAGAGGAAAACAGAGGCAAGATAAGTTGGGTGACTTTTAGGAGTTGATGATATATTATGGGTGAGAAATGGCAAAGGTGGCTTGCCTTTAGGAAAGATAAAAGTAGTAGAATGAGGGTTGGAAGACTGCCAGAGATAACTATCTGTCTGACATTTTAGATGAAGACTGGCTCTGCCTTTAGTGCCATTTGAATTGTTCATCTGGGCGATGCTTCAATAAAGAGATGCATAGTAATTGTGGTGATTTAAGTTTTCAGGTTGCTAATGAGAGACACAAGTCTTTTTCTAGAAAGCAGATCCATCCTCCTGGGAGGTTACAATGTGTAGAGTTGAAGATTACACCATATAAATTAGTACTTGATTACAGGTTGCTTACATTGTTCACTGACAATTTTATTCTCTAGTCTGACCAACATACATACTTAGAAACCTGTTAAGTGCTAGCTGTTACAATGGTGAACCATCTTGAACTTGGTTCTTGCCCTCGTGGCACTTCAGTTCAGTGGGGGTTATTTGTATGAATAAATAAATAATTACATCTTGGCATAAGTTCTATTAATGGGGAAATAGCCACTGATCTATATTTTTACTAACAGCTTCATTGAGGTATAATTTATGTCACATAAAATTCGTCCATTTAACACTGATTTTTAAAAAAGCATACATCAGATTATGCCACTTCCCTGCTTGAAATTCTTCAATGGGCCTTCTGTTGCGGTAGAAAAAAGGTAAAACTCTTCCACCTGGTGCCTAATCTGTCTTGTCACTCATTCTACTCTACACAAAATTGCCTTCTGACTGTTCAGGGAAGACATCAAGCTGTTTTTTGCCTCAGGACTTTGGCATGTACTGTTCCCTATGCATGAACTCTCCCTGATTCATCATGTAGCTGAATCCTTCTCCCCTTTCAGATCATTGTTTCAAAGTCACCTTTTCTGAAAGTCCGTCTCTGGCCACACTGTGCAGACTTCTACGGTATTGACTTCCACAATCTGCCTTCTCTTTATTCATTGTCCCAGCACCTGTTCTGTCTCCATGGCAATTATCATAAGCTAGGCAAGTCTGGTCTGTCCAATACAATTATAAGGTATTTAAAGACACTACCCTCTGTTTTCCTTGCTGTGAAGTGAACAAGTTGTTGGACAAACAGTGATATATAAGTAAGAAAAAAACTTACTATAAAGACCTTTAGAGCAGTGCTACTCAAAATGTGTGCAGATTAGTGCTGGTTCATTGTTCATTACCAATCTGAGATGATATAAGGAAATAAATGAAGGGTAAATATTTATCAGCCCTCATAGGAATTTGACAGGGTAATATGGCTGTCGAATGTAATACTAAAAAATATTGAACTTACATTTTATATATCTTACTTTGCTTCTTTCATTTTTTAAGTCATTTATTTTTGTTGCATGTTTACTGGTACCTGAAGATCTTGGGGGAAAAAACTGGTTCTTCTTCACAGATAGTTTAGGAAGCACTGTGTTTAGAGGACATGATCTGAGCACTTGAGGAGAAGACAGAATGCTTTTCATTCATCTCATTATAACATTGGGCAGGAAATTATCTTTCCTTGTTAATTTCAGGCAGGGGAGAGAGGAAAGAGAGACACAGTACAATGGTTGACTATAATAAAAGCATTTTCGGTGAGAGAGAATAGGAGTCTCAGAGTTGGCTACTTTAAGCTGACAAATGCCTGTGGCTTTCTAAATACATGGCAGGAAGTTGGATCCTAGCCTAGTCCCGACTCCTCATTCCCTTGGTGTTCTATGTCCCATTTCCATTTGGAGAAGAAAGTGAATCCTGAGCCACCAGAGAAGTTGTGCACCAGGAGAGGTGACTGCGCTCCCTTGCATTTGGGACCAGTGGGACTTTTTCCCTTCAAGCCCACCTCCCTTGCCTGCAAAGCCAGGCTCTAGCCCAGTGAGCTCTGTGTTTACATGCCATCTGCTGAGGTGTCAGTCATCACAACACGTGGCTTTGAGAATTTGAATTTTTTATTTAGAACATAAAAATGGCAGAACAAAGGAAGGTAAAGGAGAGAACAGAACAAGAAGACCTGGAAGGGGAAGAGAGAAGGGAATAGTTGTTATTGGCAAGCAAAAGCACATAACTAAATCTTATTTGAACTTGTTTTATCTCTAAACAAAACAGGCCCTTCTCTGTTTCAGGTACAGTCTGAGATCTGGTAAGTTGCAGAGTTCACTTCTTCAAGCTTGTTGAAGCTCCTGGCTGCCTGTTTGGGCTCAATTTTGTGAGTAATGCTCTTGTTTTAGTAAAGTTTTGGAAAAATTTTACTTCCATTATTATTTTCTGGCATACGTGAGGTTGGATGAGGAGGGTGAGAGAAGACAAAGCATGAGAAAAAAGGAATGAAAGTGTGTGTGTGTGTGTGTGTGTGTGAGAGAGAGAGAGAGAGAGAGAGAGAGAGAGAGAGATTGAGAGAGAGGGAGAAGAGGGACGGAAAGTGGTTAGACAGCAGGGAGTGACGGAGATGTAATTGCTGCCTGTTAAGATACAGTTCATATTGGGCTTTGGGATAGGTTTTTTCAAACCCAGATTCATAAAAGTGTCCTTGTTTTTAAAAGACTTTTTAATCTCTGATCACTTCATCCTCATAAATTTAGAGCTTATGCTTCATTTATTTACATTTGTGTGTTTGCAAATGCTCTTATGTGACCTTTGTGGTGCTAGCTTTCCATCTCATTGAGAAGCTTGGGTGGGTAAAGTGGGATGAGCAAGGTACTCTACCTAGATAGAAAACCTAGTTTGGCAATGGATTAGCTATGAGACTTTGGGCAAGTTATATACATTTTCTGAGTCCATTTCCTGATCTGTAAAAGGCTTAGAGAAGTGGGTGGACAAGAAGTCTCTCCTCATAGGAGTTCTGAGAAAATTAAATGAAAGTCTAAAGGAAACAGCTAACACAGAGAGGATTATAAGATACATGAACTTTCTTCTATTTTTTCTCCTTACAGAATGACTTGTTTGATTGCCTGTAGCTCTCTACTGCTGACAGCAGACTTTACCTAAATTCCTCCACTTACAGGATCAGCAACTGTCCCCAACTCTGGGACCAGTTTCAACCTAGGCAGGGAAGCTGTCAGGTCTTCTAAGGCAGTGGTTAATTGGTGCAACACTAAATGAGCCCTGCTATGGCTCATCTTCTCCCCTGGGTCCTTCAATTGTTTGTGGGTCTTTTGTTTTTTTTTTGTGATTGTTTTTGGTCTTATTTGGGGGGTGATGAACATCTGTTGTTGGGTCATACAATCCAGATCCAATTTTCCTTGTGTCATCTGCTAGACTGTTTTTGACTGATCCTTCAGATCCCGAGCTCTGTTTAGACCTTGGCTAAGAACACTCAAATTTATCTTGGCTTTTGCCCACCTGGACTGATTTTAAAGCTTTAGTCTGCCTTATCACTTTATATCCCTAAGGATAATGGGGCTCTGGCTTTGCATCCCTGTTTGTGTCCTCAGCATTCACCCAACTAATGGGTCTACACTCTCACTCCTGGCCTACCCTGGTCCAAACTGAACTCCAAGAGGGAAGAAGTGTAGATTTAGAAGTGACAGTGGTGTGTTTTCTAAATTTTAGTCATTAATATACCATTTTTACAGTTTTTTGCCACATAGGTGGACCATCTGAACTATAATTTACTAAATATTTTTATTTACATTGACTAAGTTTCTTTTATCTACATATATACTTTTGCCTCATTCCAAGGAATGGTATCTATAAAAATCACAGAATTGCTAGAATAGTTGTTTTTCTAATATGTATTTAATATACATTCAAAACTAATACGTCAAAAGAGTAGTTTTGCTATATAGTATCTAAAATCATCTCATGTAAATTTTGGGAAATAGTGATCTTGTCTAACTGCATTTTACAGATTGACAATGAGGTTCAAAGAGGTTCAGTGTGTCATCTCCCTAGTTAGATGAATTCTTGGGATTCAAACATGACTTCTACCTCCTAGCTTAGTTCTTTTTTAAAAAAAATTACACTACACTGCCTTTGCATAGATTCCTAATATTACTCTAGGGCTCTACACACAGTAACTGAGTTACCATTGCTGACATATATGAAGAAAACTAAATCACCCTACACAATATGCCTGGCAATGGAGTGTTAAGCATCCGGATCCAGGACCTTACCATGAGAGAAAGAGAGGCTGCTTGACTGACAGATGGTACACATGATGGCTACCTCTGGGACTAACGTTGACAAACAGCGCCATGTTAGAGAGAGTCCTGGGAGAGAAACCAATAGTTAACGACAGAACAACTCCTAAAAAATTGACATCACCAACTGATACAAGAATTTGTAAGAGACTTACTTGCTCTATTGGGATGTCCATTTCTGGCCTGAGTAGATCACATCTCTGGGTTGTACTCCTGGTGGAATCTTCTGTTTCTTTCCGGGATTTCAACAAGTTAGAATTTTCTGCAGCTCATTGCCCACCCTGAAATGTACATCTTGACCTGTGAGAGGCCTCTGTTAAAGCAGCCATGGAATATTCAAGTCTTCTCACTTTAGGATTGCTACCAGGGGAAGTTCCATGTAAAAGTACAAAGATGTCTTTGCCAGATAGACAGAGCTCAGTATCAAAGGGAACTGTAGCAAGTGATTCCAGGAAGCTTAGTTAAGTAGCTTAAGTATTCTTGACTTTACATTTGTAGAATAAATCAATGGTTTTGTGCTGCTTGTAATACCAAGACTCAGATTGGACTCTGCTCTTCTGTATATAGATATCCATCCTCAGCTTTCATCCAGCTGGCTCATCTTGAAAGGAAACATCTTCTTATGACCACTTCCCCTTTTCTTGACCAACCAACTTACTTCTAAATAGTTTTGGTTTACTCTGTGTGTGTGTGTGTGTGTGTGTGTGTGTGTGTGTGTGTGTCTTTGATGGAGGCATTTGAAGTAATTTTCATCTGCTTAAAAAAATCTGGGAACCATAGATCATGGTAGGAATAATTTGTCTTGTTATCATTATCATCAGAGATGAACAGCAGCTCCTATCTCTATTGCCCAAATGCAATTTGATATGGAGTACAAGGACTTACATGGCTGAATTCAAATGAAAAGAAGGTCACTAAAGAAAGAGAAGGGGTGGTAGCTCAAAGCATGGTAAAGGAAATCATGTTTTCATTACTCAGACTGACATGATACTGTACATTACTTTCTTTTTGAAGGAACAGACTTTGCTTGTTCTTGTAGTAGATACTCCCCCAAAGTTTCATAATTCTCAGTTGTGTGTATAGGATTCAGTTTACCCTTCTTTTCCCCAACCTTGTCCTAGTGATTTTCTCTTTCAGTTCTATCACTCCACAGACTTTAATTTTTGTCAGGTCTGGATCTCAAAGTTGCAACAAAAGCTTATCTAAAAGATTGTCAGTAGGCAAAGGATATATTCTTGAGATGATGGGTACTCTATTTACCCTGGTATGGTTATTGTACATTGCACACCTATATGAAAATATCTCATGTAATCCACAGATGTATACATCTAGTATGTACTCACAACAAGAAAAAAAAAAAACTGAAAAAAGTTTGTCAGTAGAAATAAGGAGACGTAGTTGGAATTATAGAATAGGAAAGGCCTTTACAGATCATCGGTCATCGTAGGACAACTGAGACAGCCATTCTTATGCATGGCTTACATCTCCCTTTAAGACAAAACCTGCCTCAAAGAATTAGGTTAGCTGACAACCTCCAGCTTCAGGTACCTTCAGATCTGCCTCAGTTTTCAAGTGGAAGGTGTGTGCTTTCTGGGCTGCTGCCAACTAATCACTAAGGAAAGTCGTAACGTAATGACTTGCCATTTGGAAGAAGCAGAAGACTCCTCTATGAGGTATCTTTTGCACTGATCTCCCAGTTGTGTTGGCCAAGATTTTATCAGTGCTACACCACAGTCTGAAGCTTTTGCTAATAATCTTACTTCCTTTCCTCTTCTGTTACTGTTATAGACCTGTATTGTGGTCTTAAGCCCTCCCTGCCTACTTATGTTTCTTTCCCTTTTATCTTTCATAGGTATTACTCCCAATAAATATCTTGCACTTCTAATTATTATCTGCCTTCAAATGACCCACCCAACACATCAATGCCTGCCCCCTGCCACGCCCATCTGAGTGTTAAAGTAAGGAAACTGTAACACTGTCTGTAGATGTGAAGTGACTTACACAAGATCCCTTACCCTGCTGGTAGCAAAGTCAGTTTGACAAGCCAAGCTTTCTGACCCCCAGTTCAATGTTATATCTTAAACTTAGTCATTCGTGTATAATAACAACCATGTATGCAAAACCCAGATTTTGCTATATTTTTTTATCCTTGTTACTATTGTTTACTGGAACATTAAAGACATACTTTACTTTTGTTAAATCTCTATTTTAGCCCATTTGAAGTAATAATATCTATAAAATTTCAATTTTGATGTGCTAGTTTTATATATTTTTCTATTACATAGTAAGGAAATATATTTTCACTAAAATAAAAAAAATTGCATGTGTATACTACCTAAAGTCACCTCATGCATGGTCAGTGATTGGTGAACCCTGCATTTTTAAACACTGTGCTATATAACTTGCTGCTTTGTAGGGCATACAAAGCAAAAGAGAAGGAAAGGGAAAAGAGATGAAGGATGAAAAGGAAAAAAGAAAGGAAGGAAAATAGAAAAAGAAAGAAAGACAGCAAAATATTTATTGGTGAGAAAGTAATGACAAAAAGTCATCAATAACTGCTTCAGGTACCTTGTTGTGACATTCATATATTCTGCTAAGCCACAGTCTAACCTCCATTACATTGAAAAAAAAAAAAAACTTTCCTTATTGGTTTTCTAAAAACCAAATTGAAAATATATGGATGCAATTTAAGAATCAAGATTTCTCTTCCTAAAAGGGTAGATTCATTTATTCCCAAAATGGACTGAAGTACTCCACTTATAGCAAGTTATTGAAGAAAAATGCACAACACATTTGAAAGCGGTAGCTCTAATCTGCATCTTACAAAGTGTTTGAATGTACATACTCTTAAGAAAGAGGTTTAAGTAACATTTCCTTTTTCATTTAAAAATATTCATTATTAAAACCAAATAAGATATTTTCTTTGATTTAAAAAATGTAAGAATATAATTACAATAATCTTTCATCTTTGTTGCTATTCTTTTGGCTTAAGAGCTTTATAATGATCATGATTCCATTGTGCTAATTAAACAAAATAGGGGTTAGAACTCATATCATGTAATAACTTAATAGATTTTTAGTATTATAGTGACAATTTAACATTTCTCTTTCATTTCATGGAGATGGTATTATTCAGAACCTCTGCCAAACAGATATTACTAATTTAGAAGCCATTTGCTAATTCCTAAACAATTTGTCCTTTCAGCGAAAGAAAATGTATAAAGTAACCTTAATGAAATACTAGCTTCTACAGTGTCACAAATTTTAAAGGTATGGGAAGTTTGAAAGTAAAGATTCAAGTTATGTTTTATGTAGTTAGAAAAGTGGCTATACATTTTGGCAGGGTCATGTAATGTACTATGTTAAAATCTACTCTGGCATGTGGCTCAAAAACATTTGGTAGTTGTCTGCTTCTGAAAGGACAAATGCAGTACTGATGTGCACATATACTTGAATCAATTGGGAAAGAGTCAGTTTCCTGTGTCCCCTGTTCCATGGTTTATATTTCAGACCCGATTAAAATAGTTTACATTTCAAACTGAAATTGAATCTAAAAATCAGTAAAGAATCATATAAAATTATTTGTTAAATGAGGAAAGAATATAGCTGCTTCACAGCTAAAATGACAGCATAATTGAAAGCAAGGCTATTGCATTCAGGTTTTGGTAGTTACTGAAGTCATTTCTTCAAGTTTCTGGAGAAGGCATTAGGTACTTCATGTATTTCCTTTTTGGATGATTACAGAACAACACAAACTAAATAGGATATATTGCCCAGGGATACTTGCTTGTTCTTACCAGGTTAGCGAGCATGTAGTGATAACCTCTTGAGTGTTTCCCCAGGATCACAACCTGCAGAAAGAAGAAATAAGACATATTGCTTATTCAAGAAGGGCATTTTCAATTGCACAATTAATAGGGTGGCTAGAACAAATGTCTTTAAACAAAATGTTAGATCTTTTATATACAGAAAAATCACAGTTAATTGGACCAGATTTCTTGTTGTTGCATTTCCCTTTCAACTAGATAAAACAGGAGGACTTGCTAATATCAGAGTTAAAATGTCAAAACAAGGGAGAAAAAAAACTCCCTAAGCTTCCAGGTCAGTAGCATCGCTGTCATTTAAAATAGATGGCAAAGTGATGAAACTGAATATCCCCCATCCCTGAACTCGATTTCCGTACTTAGCTGTTGAAATGGAAAATCAGCTGAACTTTGCATACGAAGTAGAAAACAGAATGTACAGTATTTTCTATTTTTTTTTTTGTTATCTGGAATGCTAAGGGAATAGAACATTCAAGGAATGGGGTTAATGGGATTTTCAGGTTAACTGAGGTTGCTTTTGCTTATTGAAAACTTTTCTCAAATGCTTACCTTCCTTTTCCTAACTTAGTATGAAAGACTTGTGATCGTTTGTATAGCTTTTGCTGCTGATCGTGATGCCCCTCAAAGGGGGGTCCCTTTGAGGAAACTTGGCAATGCCTGGAGACATCTCTTCTTTTTTTTAATTGCATTTTAGGTTTTGGGGTACATGTGAAGAACATGCAAGATTGTTGCATAGGTACACACATGGCAGTGTGATTTGCTGCCTTCCTCCCCTTCACCTATATCTGGCATTTCTCCCCATGTTATCCCTCCTAAACCTCCCTACTCCCTGCTATCCCTCCCCTAGTCTGCCACAACAGACCCCAGTGTGTGATGCTCCCCTCCCTGTGTCCATGTGTTCTCATTGTTCAACACCCACCTATGAGTGAGAACATGCGGTGTTTGATTTTCTGCTCTTGTGTCAGTTTGCTGAGAATGATGGTTGGGAAGAGTGCTCTAGCATTTAGTGAGTAGGGGCCAGAGATGTAGCTAGAAATCCTACAATGCTTGGAACAGCCCACACAATAAAGAATTCTCAGGCCCAAAATATCTGTAGTGCCGGAGTTGAGAAACCCTTTTTCAGCATCATCATTCTTATCCTAATTTTTATGAATAATGCTGTATTAATACAAAGGCTAATAATAGGCTTTGCATTCATAATAGGCTTTGTATTAATAAAAATGTACTTTGTATAATTCACGAAGTACATTTTTATTATCTCAAAATATATGAGTGGCCTGAATATTTTCTAACCAAAGGTATTGGTTAGAAGTTAGAAGTTTTTGACTAAATAATTGATGTTTATTTCCTTGAAGCCAAATTCAGCAAAAATTCTGGTTAGTGGAGGATTTTGAGTACTGACTGTGTGCAAAGTACTACAATGAGTATCAATGGAGGGAACAGGATAACATAG